CATTTTACAACCGTATTTATAGTAACTGGTTCAGGTAAGAATCATCAATAGATATTAAGTCTAGGTGGAAATCTGGGTGAAGAGTGTCATACTTGCATGGTTTTAAAGTGGCTCTTTACAGATTATACTTCTGAATTGCAAGGGAGTAAATAATAAGTATGCACTGGAGAAATGGGACAGTACCTTGACTGAATGATCAAAATGAATATCACCAATAAGGGGCAGATTGTCTGCATTGAGATGTGATAATCTGAAGGGTCCAACATCACTTATGTACTGTTTGGCCCAAGAGTGCATAATCTGCATCTAATAGTGAGGAAACATTAGAGAAACCCCAAATAAGAAACACTGTGTTTTAAAAAAAGCTAAAAAAAAAAAACCACACACACACAACTGTGGGAGAAGATTAAAGAAACACAGGAACCAACTGAAAGATTACCCAATGGCCAACACTGGAACAATTTGCGCAGTAATAAATAAGATAGTATTGGATTATAAGCAAAATATAAATATCCTTGAGTCTATAGCGATATAAATAAATCATGGAATAAATTGGAAAGACAAATCTCCCATGCATAAGAACTCTAAATCTGCTCTGCCATCAAGGAAGTGGAGCATACCTCTGCACTCAATAAGTGTGGGCTGTGCACGGTGACTTCCTTCTATAGTACAGTGTGCAGTGTAGGGGAAATGAGTAGCTGTACAGTGCAGAAACCTGACAAACACCATCTTAGCCAGGTGAGCAAGGGTGACAACAGGGATAATAAGTCACATCTTGATATGATATGATGAAAATGGCACTCTACCTCTTTGGTCTTCCTCCCCAAAACATATAACCGCAGTTTAATTATCAGAAAAACAGCAAATAAGTCATAATTGAGGGACTTTTTACAGAATACCAGACTAGAATTCCTCAAAACTGTCTAAGGCCAGTAAAAACAAGAAAGTCTGAGAAACTGTCACATCCAAGGGGAGCCTAGAAACATTACTACTAAATATAATGTGATATCCTGGATGGGATCCTGGAATAGGAAAGGGACATTAGATAAAAACTAAGGAAACTTTGTACACAAATATTGAGAGCCTCATTATTCATAATAGCCCCAAAGTGAAACTAATCCAAATGTCTATCAACTGATGAATAGACAAGCAAAATGTTGTATATCCATACAATGGAATATAACTCAGCCATAAAAATGGAGTTCTGATATATGTTGTAACACGGATGAACCTTGAAAGCATTATGCTGAGTGAAAGAAGCCAGAAACAGAAGGCCGCATATTACATGGTTCCACTTACATGGATTATCCAGAATAGGCAAGTCCATGGTGAAGGAAAGTTAGTTTAGTAGTTGCTGGGGGATTGGGGGTAGTGACTGCTTTTGGCCACTGGGTTTCTTTTTGGGGTAATGAAAATTTTCTGGACTTAGATAGTGGTGATAGTTGCATAACCTTGCAAATATGCTAAAAACCACTGAAATGTACATTTTAAAGTGGTGGATTTTATGGTATGTAAATTATATCTTAATTTCTTAAAACTAAGGAAATAGGAATAAAGTATGGAATTTAGTTCACCAAAAAAGGGAGGATGACTATACTCAAAATGTCAGTGTTATAAAAGACAGACTGGAAAACTTCCAGATTCATTGAGATTAGAGAGGTGTGATAACTAAAGCCAATGCATGATCTTTAACTGGATCCCGTATGGTGGTGGGAAAAGGTTATAAAAGACATTATTCAGTCAATTGACAAAGTTGTACTAAGGATAATAGCTTAGATTAAAAGTATTTGATCAGTGTTAATTTAGTTTAACTACATTCTTAATTTTAGGAAACACACACAGGTATTTGGAGTTAAAGGGACATCGTATATGGAACTTGATCTCAAATTATTCAGAAAAATATGTGTGTATATATTGTATGCACCTCCAAAGGAGGAGAGATACATGTGATAAAAGAGATGAGGTAAAAGGTTAGCAAATCAAGTAGGCAAAGGGTGTACAAATATTTTGTATTCTTGGAAATATGTTTTCCTGTGAGTTAAGGAAAACAGCATTTGGAATAGTGTTAACAAGGATGTTCAACAGTGGGAACTCTTATTATTACTCTATTTAAGAATGTAAGTCCGTTCGAATACTTGGTAAAATAATTTGGAATATGACTTCAGTATTTGAAAAATAATAATTTTGGCATTGTCTATTTTTAGATAGATATCCTGAAGAAATTCCTCTACGTGTGCACCACAAACATATGAAATAATGTGATAGGAACATTATTTTAATAGCCACAAAATGGGGGGGGCATTTTAATACAGCAGTGAAAATGAGTAGACTAGAGCGTGCATCAGTATTAACATCTATGCATCTCAGAAATAATGCTGAATGAAAAACAAGTCACTGAGGAGCATAACCAGAAGCAAGAGAATTAAAACCAGACAAAACTAAGCAACACATTGTTTAGGGCTACGTACATATGTGAGACAGCTATGAAGAAAAACGAAAGAAGGGAGGGCACAAGGGGGACTTGGAAAGTACTGGTGATCTGTTTCTTAAGCTCGTTGGTGTATAAACGAGTGTTTGTGTTTTCTGTATTTATAAAATACTCTGGTATGTGTATTTTTAAAAAGTTTTTTAATTTTAAAAACGTTTCAAAACGCAAAACCCTCCAAGGCAAATAATTTTAAATCATAAATCATTAAATGAGTAAAGCAAGTTATGAAATTATGTATGAGTTTTTGTTAAGAAATTGCATATGCATCTGTATCTTTGTGTTTATAGAAATAAGTCTGAGAAGAAAAACACAAAACTGTGTTGTTCCTTAGGAAGTAGGATTTCTAGAGAACTTTTGCATTATATTTCTTTGTATTTACTTATGTACTTTTGAGATCTGTGAGCATTTATCAGCCAGGCTCACATTTTGAGATTATATTTCTTTTGTCTTTACTGCTGTTGAATAAAGAGCTTAAAGGTAGGGTCCAAGTGTTATACATACTTTTCTGTGTGTTTTTTTTAATCAGAAAAATAATAAAACAATTTCCATTTTAGAAAACAATAAAACCAAAAAATTTAGAGGAAGGTCACTAGCAATGTTTAGAAATCTTAACTGAGGAATGCAGGTTACAAAACAGTATTTTACATACTTAATATTAGTTCACTTAAAATATTATGTATATTCAAAATCTTAAAAAAATCCTGGAATGAAAATGCTCCACAACTAACAAATATTATTTCTAGGTGGTATAATTTGCAGGTGGTTTTAATTTTCTTTGTATTTTCCTAATCTTGCATGTATTACATATGGAAGTAGGAAAAAAAAATTATGAGAGTATTCACCATTATTAAGGACTGAAGTTCTTATATGATTTCAGTAACATTATTCTTACCTTTGGGAGTAGCAGCTACTTACCTGAATGAGCAGTGGTAGGTACTAAGAGAAGAGAAGAGAGCTCATCTCTACCCTTGTTACAGATGTGAGTTCAGTGGTACTCTTTCATCGAGTTGGCCAAAAAGTGCCTTCGGTTTATCTTTTTGAGCAAAGAACTGTACCAGGTGCCTTTTACAGTCTTCCAGGGAATTGAAATTTTTTCCATTAAGAGAATTTTGTAAAGACCGAAATAAATGGAAATCCAAAGGTGCAATGTCTGGTGAATACAACCAATGAATCAGAACTTCCCAGTCAAGCTGTAACTGTTTTTGTCTCATCATCAAAGAAACATGTGGTCTTGCATTATCCTCATGGAAGATTATGCATTTACTGTTGACTAACTCTGGATGCTTTTCATTGAGTGCTGCTTTCAGGTGGTCTGATTGGGAGCAGTATTTGTTGGAATTAATCATTTGGTTTTCTGGAAGAAGCTCATAATACAGGACTCCCTTCCAATCCCATCATATACACAACATCACCTTCTTTGCATGAAGACCAGCCTTTGTTGTGGTTGGTGGTGGTTCATTTCGCTTGCCCCACGATCTCTTCCATTCCACATTGTTGTATTGTTTCATTGCCTATCACAGTGTTTTAAAAATGGAACGTTTGGGACTTCCCTGGTGGTGCAGTGGTTAAGAATCTGCCTGCCAGTGCAGGGGACACAGGTTCGAGCCCTGGTCTGGGAAGATACCACATGCCATGGAGCAACTAAGCCCGTGCGCCACGACTACTGAGCCTGCACTTGAGCCGACAAGCCACAACTACTGAGCCCATGTGCCACAACTACTGAAGCCCGCACACCTAGAGCCCGTGCACTGCAACAAAGAGTAGCTCCCATTCGCCATAAGTAGAGAAAGCCTGCGTGCAGCAACGGAGACCCAATGCAGCCATAAATAAATAAATAAACAAACAAAAACCTGGAACGTTTTCATTATGTTTAAGTAGAGAATCACACGCAGAAATATGGTCAAGAAGGTTTTGTTCGCTTAACTTACATGGAACCCAAACATCACATAACCAAGCTGGTGCAAATTTTCAACACTCGATTTGGATGTTTTGAGTATGTCATCTATCTCCTGCGTGGTATAACATTGATTGATCTCAATGTCTCAGTCTGATCCCTATCAACTTCAACTGGTCTTCCCGAGCGTGGAGCATCATCCAGCAAGAAATCTCCAACACGAAACTTCTCAAACCGCTTTTGACATTTTTGATCAGTCACAGCACCTTCTCCATACACTGCACAAATCTTTTTGCATTTCAGTTGCGTTTTTACCTTTCTTGAAATAATAAAGCATAATATGCCGACAATGTTGCTTTTTTTCTTCCATCTTCAATATTAAAATGGCTACACAAAAATTCACCAATTTTGCTAAGTCGTTTTTTAAATGCACACTGATATGACAGCTGTCACATACGATCTAACATAATTGTTTCGAATGAAGTTAAAGAAAACTAAGTTGCTGCTAGAGCCATCTCACGGAAAAAAGTGAACGAACCTTTTGGCTGACCCAATAAATGGCTGCTTTATTCTTTGACAACTGCATTGATCACTTATCTAACTTCATGTGTCCTTCAGGTGCTGCACTATCTGGCAGTACAGAAACCTGCAGACCTTGCTAGGCACCTGTTACCTTGTGTAATTCATGCAGCCATACTCAAGGTAAAGGAGGAAGGTAAATGTCTTATTTGATTAGTCATTAGTTCATTTCCAAAATAAAAGTAGATTTTGCCTAACTTATCTAATGATGGCTTTGATCTTTTTAAAAATAGAAAGTCTGGAAAACATTTCTTCAGTTAAGAAGATTATAAAGCAAATAATATCTCATTCCAGTAAAGTTTTGCACTTCCCCAATCCAGAAGACAAGAAATTGGAAGTAAGTCTGATCTTTCCAAGTGTTCTCCCCAGTTGGCAATAATTATTTTAAAGATACATTTTTTAAAGGCTTTTTGCTGTCTTCCAATGTATGCCTCTCCCCTTTCTCACTCACTGTTAGGAAATCATCCATCAAATTACTAATGTAGAAGCTATAATTGCTAGAGCCCGCTCACTGAAAGCCAAGTTTGGAACTGAGAAATGTGAACAAGAGGAGGAAAAGGAAGATCTTGAAAGGTAATTGCTATCTGATTAACTCATTTTTATCTGCAATAGGAAAAGCCACCACTCTCTTTAGAAAATTTTTGTAAAATATTGAGATTCTTTTGTAGTGTTCCTCTGTTTTTTGTAAAAAGCATTGGCTAGAGACAGAGAAATGTTTCTTTATCATAGGATTTGACCTCTCCTGTATCTCTTGAGTATTTGCCACGTGTTTCCATTCCTCCCACTTTTAGAATGAAGGCTTCCAGGTCTCTCTTTCTAGGAGTGTCCTTGTTTGCTCTTGGAGGAGTTGCCTGTGGAGGAACTGGCTGTTTACTCTTTGTTACTTGCAGGGCCCCAGAGCTCTGCTTTCCACTCTCACTGTTCCTTAAGTACAGGCAGAGGTGTTCTGAAACTATTTCTGCTCAATATTCCTAGTTTTTACACAAGATTTACTAAAGAGTTACTAAATCTTCTGAATAAGATTTGTGATAGCAAATGTGCATACCCTCCGTGCTCTGTGAATGTGTTTTGAAAGAGTGACCAGATGGCCTCTCCGTGATGAGGCAAATGATTGGGTCAGTCTTTTCCTCCTTCCAAGATTTGGACCATTTCTAAGGGAGCCTGTCACTGTGGGTCCCTGTCCATTTTTGCCTGAGGTACTTGAAAGGACGACGATGTTTCAATAGGTGATAAAGTGTTTCCAAATTAGCTACTTGAGCAGCTTGAATTTGTTATAACTAAAATTTTCATCAGTCTTTCCATGAGAAATGGCATTATTGATGATAAATAATATTATATGACAAGGCATTTGCTATAGCTTTTAACAAGTTCTTGTTTGAATATTATATCTTTTGTTGAAATTTTCACCCAGCCTTCTTTGCTCTTGAAAATTCCTTCCCCTTAAATGAGAAGAATATGCTCTAATCACAGGAATTGTTTCTAAGATAGCAGTATGAGTTAGTGAGCAGGTGGTGCAGAGTTGGTGGCTCTGTGCCTTCGACTCTCTTAGCTCCACCATACGTTGTCTGTGATATACTTGGAAGTAGAGTGTTTCCAGCACATAATGGCACAGCTTACAATTGAAACTTTGCCCAGCAAAACATGTATTTTAAGCGCATGCACACACACTCACACTCACACTCACTCATACCCCTTAAAAGAACAAAAATGAGAAATAAGGACCATTGCTTTGCTGAATAAATTAAACATGGTTTTTGTTGTTAAAAACTTTAAAAAAAATCTTTTATTTAGTGTAGCATCTTCTATAGTCTGAAAGAAATAGACTGAATATTTTTTCTTACACTTTGACAGAGATGGGCTATTAAAAAAATTTACAAAAACAGTTGAAATGCAGTAAGATTGTCATTTGAGTCGATTTTAATTCCAAATGTCGATCTGTCCTGTTAAAAAATTTCCACTCCAGCCTTGGTGTAGGGTTCGCCAGTATCATTTTGACGGTTTGTCCCCAAAATGAATCAGGGAGGATTGACCCAGTGTGAACTGAGCAGCTTGTTTTCTATCCTTTCATTACCTCTCTCTTTCAGGTTTGTGAGTTGCCTTTTGGAGCAACCTGAGGTGTTAGTTGTCGGTGCAGGAAGAGGACACGCTGGCAGGATCATTCACAAGCTGTTTGTGAATGCTCAGAGGGTATGTGAGATTCCTTATTGACTGTGTCATGATCTCTCCAGGCCTCTGCTCAGTAAGGTACTGTTTTTTGTTTTGTTTTGTTTTGTTTTTTTGGGGGTTTATTTTTGCGGTACGCGGGCCTCTCACTGTTGCGGCCTCTCCCGTTGCGGAGCACAGGCCCCGGACGCGCAGGCCCAGCGGCCATGGCTCACGGGCCCAGCCGCTCTGCGGCATGTGGGATCTTCCCGGACCGGGGCACGAACCCGCGTCCCCTGCATCGGCAGGCGGACTCCCAACCACTGCGCCACCAGGGAAGCCCTAAGGTACTGTTTTGATTCCCACACATGGCCGATTCTACAGCTGCTAATAACAGCATTGGATTTGAACACTGAAGAAATAATGACTCTCAACAGTAACTTTTTAGTCTTTGAAATCCATCTGCTTTCTTACATGTTTAAATAAAATGATAAGTTTATTTTAGTACCTAAATTTCAGAAGTTAAAATGGCCTGAAATTCCTTGTTAACGAATCTGATAGGGACTTGTTTAGCAATGGCCAGTGCTGTGCTGTGGAAAAAATGTTTACTACTTTCAAATTAGAGTTTAGTTTTACCAGTTTTAAACTCCATGTACTGCAATGGATTCACAACTTAGCTTGGAGTTAGTAAATCTAACTGTTCTTATAATGGTGAAGAAATCTAACTTCAGAGTGTTCCTAAGAAGGAAGAGCAAGATTCAGATTTTTAGGACTATGGAAAACGGTCTTCAGCACAGAAAGAAAGCTCAATTTGAAAACTTTCCTGTGTCATTACCTCTACTGATAAAAGTTTTAAAAATCATACAGTACCTCTGACATTCTAAAACTGTTACGATTTGGATTTTTATGAGGATGGTATTAGTTATACTTCGGGTTGATTCTCTCTGTACTGTTCTTGTTTACTGGTTAAGAGGCGCTGGTATTCCGTAGGTGATTCTCACATCAGAACTCATTAATATTAAAGATTATGATAAAAGTATTTTGAAGTGTACTAAATACAGGGCGCCCCTTATATAGCACTGTGATGACACTAGAATGGCCCAGTTTTGAAGGTATAATTCTCACAGTCAAATGAGAAAAAGAATTTTCGTGGATTTACACATGGAATAAAAACTTCATAATCTCCTTTGAGTCGGTCTGGAGTGCATTGAATATATAAATTTGAATTTGAATATATTGAATTTTAACATATTCAAAATCATAGCCAAATATATTGATAGGAATTTTAGCAAGAACTAAAACCTGAGATTATTTATGGGGTGGCCCCCTAAATTTAAGGATTTCAAGTTAAAAACCAAATATTTCCTTATAAATTAAAGTTCTAGCAAGCAATAGATGCTTACTTTGATTTACTTTGTTTTTCTCTCTGGCATGAAACCAGAACCAAGTCTGTTTTCACATCCTGTGATATATTTGCCAGTTTACTAGCCAGTGCTTATAAGCACATTTCCTTGTTAATACCAATATGAATTTTCCTTATACTGCAAAAATTCTTTCATTTTTTAAAACCTGTGTGTTATGACGATTTAAAATCTGAAGTATTCATAAAATTTTTTTTTTTTTTTATTGCGGTATGTGGGCCTCTCACTGTTGTGGCTTCTCCCGCTGCGGAGCACAGGCTCTGGACACGCAGGCTCAGTGGCCATGGCTCACAGGCCCAGCCGCTCCACGGCATGTGGGATCCTCCCAGACCGGGGCATGAACCCGTGTCCCCTGCATCGGCAGGCAGACTCTCAATCACTGCGCCACCAGGGAAGCCCTATAAAATATTTTTAATGCTGAGAGTAGAACACTCTCATTGTTCTAGATACATAAGCAAAAATTATTTTCCCCAATATGGAAATAAGCTTTTTCCCTGACACTGTAAGTAAAGTCTTACTGTAAAAATTTGGATAATACAGAGAATTATAATGAAAAATTAATGACACTGAAAAATGAATCACATTAATCTCACTACCCCACTGGTGATCACTGTCAACATTTAACATCTAGTATATACAAATATATGTAAATTTTACAAAATAGGATTATATTACATAGTTTACTTTGTTCTTATTTTCCGCTCAGTGTAATTATCTTTCTACATTAGTAAATATAAGAGTGTATATCATCTTGTCACTGGGCTTATTGTATAGCTAATCCCCTTTAATGGATACTGAAATTGTACATTCATCCCACATTATATAATTTTAAAATATTTTAAACTTTCAAACCTTGAAGTGAATGTTTTTAGGGAATTGGCAGACTGTAATCCATATAACAAGCATCTGGCTGGTACATTTTTAAACTCACCTCTTAAATATCTGGCTAATTAATAGAAACCATTCAAATTTATTCACATAATTTTTCATAATTGATACTTTATATCAATTCTATTAAATCAAGATGTTAACTTTTTTAAAGTTATAAAATTTCACTGAAAATATTTTATAGCCTACAGTAATTTTACATATTTAGAACTTTTCCTTAAAATCATACATTTTAATACACTTTCATCATGATTTTATGTGTCAGTGGTATATCCATATTTAAATAGAATTCAGCAAACAGACCACTGATTGGATTTTGCCTTAGTCTTTCTAAATTGAATAAGTCAGACATCTAGTCTTAAATTCATTGGGTTATCTATTTTTCAAGACATGAGTACTTTTTTTAGTATCTTAATCTTTGGGAAAAGAGCTAAATTTTTGCTGAATCATTTCCCCATTAAGTGACCCTCTGTACGTTGCCTCTTGAGCCATCAGATGCATGAGTAGTGAGATTTGTCTGCTCAGTTGGACGGCTAGGTGTGTTGTATGTGGTGTGTTTTTGTCTTGATATTCTTTTGATAGGATCATGTTCCTTAACGTAGTGCATGCTGTCTCTGAAATAATCTTGCAATCTCTTGTCTAGCTCTTTTTAAACCATCTTGCTTGTTTCCCTTTCATCACTGTTTCTTTTCTCACCCTTTCTCAAGCTGACTGAATCTTCTGATGAGGTAACAAAATAGCCTTTGTCCCTCATAGTTCCTTGTTCCTTCCCATCCCTCTAACTTCATAAGGTCATTAAGACTAATCAACCACCTCTTTAACAGTCTGGGTTTGGCATACCTTTCTTGCTGGTGTTTAGCATAACATGATTTCATATTTCCATTGCCAAAACAATTATTTTTTTCCAAATTGATGGTATTGTGAAAGAAACATAGTGATCAGAGTTAAAATGAAAGCTCTAGTTGAATACGTATTTTATTCAATTTTAATGAAAAAATAGATGCCTTTAATATTGAGAACTTCTCTTTTGTGGCCACTGCTACATTTCATGGACCTCTATCACTTCCACGTTACATTAGTCACCAACCCAGCAAACAAAACCAGTGTCCTCAGTTTTAATTTGACAAATGAACCTTAAAAAGAATTGAAAGAATCGGTAAAAAATCATCTTTCCAGACTCTGGAGAGCAGCAGTTCTTTACTGGACTGAGGACATCAGACTTGGACTTGGGTCACTGCTAGAAGAAATGTATAGAAACCAGAACAGCTCCATTGTCCCTCTTCATCAGATGTCTGAATATGGCCCTCACTTTACAAAGCAGATTGCCTGGCAGTCATTATCTTCTGTCTGTGTCACCAGTTTATTTGTAATCTCTGGCTGCTCATGCAGTGTTTCAAGCTTCTTGCATTTTCTGTGTTGTGATTTTTTGAGCAATCATAACATAACTGACTGCATTACTGAGTAATGTAGAACATTTTTATGTATTTATCATGCATATTCAGCTGTCCTTCAAAATGATCTGAGTTTAGCATTCGGCCTGCTCTTGAACTAGCATGTGATTCTTTTCAAGGCTGCAGCCATGGCTCCGCCGGAGGAGGATCTGAAGAGGATGGTCCCCCCAGAAGAGAAGAAGCAGAACCTGGCGGCAGACTTCCCACCCGCTGCGGGCCGGGAGCTCATTTTGCGCACGACCGTGCCCCGCCCCGCTCCCTACTCCCGGGCTCTGCCTCAGCGCATGTACAGTGTCCTTACCAAAGAGGATTTCAGACTTGCAGGTGCCTTTTCATCAGATACCTCCTTCTTCTAATCCTTCTAGAGTTCCCTCATTTGTGGCTTCACAGACAGTGCTAACCCCTTCTGTGGGAAGGAGGTTGTGCCAGTCAGAACCTGAGAGGCCATGAAGAGGACCTGTCCAGTTTGGTGATCAAGAATCATACCAGCATCTGAGAGACTTTCCACTGGGCTCTCTAGGGTCTTGTGGGGGGCAGAGGAATGGGCTTCAGCTATTGAAAGATTTCTTCCCCAAAGAGATGGCCCTTGTTGTTTGGGGGATGGGGGGGACCAGAACAACAGCAGGAGGTCTGTGTATTCCCTCCAGCAGGATTGTGTTCATTTCTTCTTTTCCGTGACTATCCCTTAGGCTATTGCCCTGCATTCATAGTCTCTGTAAACACCTATTATATTTATTAGTATCAAGTATGCAAAGTAGAGTACCAGTTAACTCAGATTTCTGGATATTTTGGTGGTAGCTTCTACTCCCAGAATCTGTTTTTAAAATACTAAATGACATTCTGTTTATTCAATTACCTGGTGGCCATCTTTACTGTACTAATTGACTTTTGATGAGCATTTTGAATATTCTAGGAGAAAGCCTGGAATTTCACAGTCTGTGTTTTTCCATGTAACTGTGACTTAAATGTATTCCTTCTGATAAAAAAACTATATATTAAATGTCACTGCAAATTAGTTTTATATCTCTCGTAAGGTTTGTTTCTCTGACTTGTTTTGTCTTTGGTTGCCCTGGAAGATATCACCCTGCAGATCGTTGTTCTCTCTCTTGCTGTACAACATGCATTCCTTTTTTTGTGGTTGCTTGCAGTATTTAATGAAGCAGAGATGAGCACACGCTAAAAATATAGCCTCTGAACATAGAGATTATCGTGCAGTTAGTATAATTCGGCATATGTGCTAATGTAATGAATAGAAGATTACTTCAGTGAACTATTTTGCTTTTGTATTATAGTTAAAATGAAGATAATCGATGGGGGATGTGTAGCACCTAGCATAAGGATAACAATAACATATTTCTAGTTATGTGACGATCAAGATTTATCAAGTCTGTGTTGCTATATGGCCTCTGTTCGGTAATCTTAAATCTATTTTTAGGGCTAAAATTCCCACTTTAATCCAAAGTAAAAAATGATCATACTGAAGCATAGAGCTTGCCTATGTAACTTTAAAGAATTAATAGAGCTCTGTAAACCCTATGTTATATTATTTTCGTTAAAAAAATGTAAATATGTGTGTACATATATGTATATATATATGCATATATATATATAATGTATGTATGTAGTATAGGAGGCTCTAGCTGATTACCTCCTGGCCTTCACAGCACTCTTCTCTGAGATGCTGGATTTGACTGCTGCTGGTAAACCACACAGTGCAGCCCAAGGACTGAGCGCAGTACCAAGGAGAAACATACCTTTCAAGGACAGCGTTTATCTGCTTTCTAATGAGGAAGTTAATAACAAAAAAACATTTTTCAAAGAGAGGTTGGACTTTAAAAAGGCGTTGTGAATCTAATAAAAGGGAAGGTGTTGCTTTCTCTGGCTAATTTTCTCTTCTTTTCTCCCCTCCAGTGGGCATTTTGTTCTTATTTCAGTTAGTTTTATGCTGTCTCAGATTTTCCTAAATATTTGCAGCCTGCTGAGTCTTGCAGGGATCTCAAGAACACTTTGTGCCTTTTTAAATGACATTATCCCATTTTACTTTTATTATAGTTATGTGTTTGTTGATTTTAAGATATTTTTAAGTACCTACTTCGTATCAGGTACTGTACTAGGCAATTAAGGTAAAACAGAAACCGAACATACTCCCTCCTTTCAGTGACCTTCCCCTCAGGTAGGGAAGACTGAGGTAACATTGCTATAAAACGGAGAGTGCAGTCAACTCGATGGTATGAACTAGAGGTCCAATGTTTATTTAGTAATTCATTCATTCATTCATTTGTTGGTAGTGGAGACTAATACATGCAGTAATAGTGAACAGAGGACTTCCCAGGTGGTGCAGTGGTTAAGAAGCCGCCTGCCAACGCAGGGGAAATGGGTTGGAGCCCTGGTCCGGGAAGATCCCACATGCTGCGGAGCAGCTAAACCTGTGCACCACAGCTACTGAGCCTGCGCTCTACAGCCTGCATGCCGCAACTACTGAGCCCGCATGCCTAGAGCCCATGCTCTGCAGCAAAGAGAAGCCACCGCAATGAGAAGCCCGCGCACCACAACAAAGTAGCCCCCACAGCTAGAGAGCCCGCGCGCAGCAACGAAGACTCGACACAGCCAAAAATAAATAAATTAATTAATTAATGTTTTTAAAAATAGTGAATATGAGGGGTTATGGGAGAGGTTTTTCAGTCAGGCTTTAGGGATCAGGGAAATCTTTCTAGAGGAGATGATTTCTAAGTAGGAGCTGAGTTCTTCTTGCAAAGAAGAACTACAGTTATTTCCCCGTCCCTGTATGCTTGCCCTAATTGTGATTGTGCCGCTGCTCCCATGAAGTGGACTTTATTTTTCCAGCCCTTCGTTCTGGACTTTGCCGTGTCTTTCTTTGGTCAATGGGGTGTTAGCAAGCGTGACACAGGCAGAGACTTGAAAAGTATTTGCACGTTGAGGTTTGCCTTCTCTTCCTCCTGGGAACTGTGAGACATGCAAAGAAGCCTGCAGAAGGAAGAGAGAGTTGGCGTGGTCTTTTATGCTGCAAAAATGAACTGATACAGGAGGGCGTAGGAAGATTGTTACGGGTAGAAGAACACAGAATGTGCAGAAAACTCAGGAGTAAAGGAAAATGTATCTTTGGAGAATAGCCAGCATTTCAGTTTGGCTGGGTGAGGTACCCAGAGTAGAAAGAGGCAAGATGTGAAGATGGTGAGGTCACTGAGGTGAGATGAGGAAGTTTTGGGTAAACCACAGCAAGAAGTTAGGGCCGTGTCTTTCGGGCACTGGTGAGTCAAGAGTTCGAAGCAAGGGAGTGACGTGGTGGGTTTTAGACCACACTAAATGGATTGGAGAGGCTAAGAAGTATTTACATGTCCTAGATCTGGTACTAAATTGGAAAGTAGCAATTATATCGACAGTGGTTTTTTCCCCCTCCTTTGTGCTTTGTAACATGTTGCAGAGAGCCTGACAAGTGCTTTGTGGAACCAACAGGAAGTGTCCTCACATGGGCCCTCCCACTTTATGTGTCCCTATACCACCACAGTAATCCACATTTTTCTTCAGGATGGGATTTTTAAAACTCTCTAAGCATTTATTTTTATATTCCATTCATTAGTTCAGCAGACTTTTATTGAATGCCAGCTGTTTGCCAGGTACTGTCCTAGGCGATGGGGATACAGCAGTGAACAGGACAGGTAAAAGGCCCTCATGGCGTTTACATCAAGGGATAAGTATGATCAAATTACCTGAGTGGGGGGAGAGTGGTTTATGGACAGGTGATAAAGGAAGGCCTGTGAGGCAGTGACATTGAGCAGAGACCTGAATGAAGTGAGGGAGCCGGCCTTGTGGGCGCCTGGGAGATGACCCCAGACGGGATAGAAAAAGGCAGAGGTATGAGTAAACGTGGTATGTCGGAGGTGCCGAGAAAAGGTCAGAGTGGCCAGGGAGTACAGTAGGGGAGGGAAAAGGATGAAGAAAAAAAAGTTGGGCAAACGTGCTAAGACCAGATCACACTAAACATTAGGAGCTGGGATTTGTTTTCTTGATTGAAAGGGAAAGCCAGTGGAGAATTTTGAAGGGGGCGGGTGGGTGGGGCATGGTGTCATGATCTGACATTTGGAAACTCTTCACTCTGGCTGCTGTGTGGAGAATAAACTGCAGAGGCAGGGGTGCAAGCAGTGAAATTAGTAGGAGTGTTGAAGATTTGCACTGGAGTGGTAGCAGCGGAGTGGGTAAAAGGTGATCAGATTTGGTACACGTTTTGGAAGCAGAATGCACAGAATATGCTGACGGAATTACTGAGGGTATGAGAAAGAGTCAAGGGTGAGCTGGAAGTTTGGGGCCTGAGTAACCGAGTGATGCTGTCACATACTGAGATGGGGAAGGCTGAGGGGAGAACAGGTTTGCGGGGAGGATGCGAATAAAGATTTGGAGTTAGGACTTGCTAACTCTGAGCTAACAATTAGATCTACCTGGGGGAGCCAGCGTCTGGGGTGGCCGCAGTGGCTCCCTGCCTCCTCCCTCCTGGGATTCACACCCTTGTGTAGTCTCCACCCCAAAATTATACCAGAGCTGGGCTTTGTGGTGAACAGAACACGGAAAAAGTGTTGGTGTGTCACTCCCAAGATTAGGTTAGGAAAGACATCAGTCTCAGAGTGGCTTTCTCTCTCGGATCACTCGCTCTGGGGGAAGTCGACTGCCAGGTCGCAAACAACCCTAGGGAGAGGCCCACATCCTGCGGAATGGGGGCTCCTGCCAGAAGCCATGTGAGCTTGGAAGTGGATTCTCCCGTCTCAGAAGACTGCAGCCTCCTGAGGGACCTTGCACCAGAACTGCCAGGCTAAGCTGCTCGTGGTTTGCCGACCCTCAGAAACCGTGAGAGAATGTTTGTTATTTTAAGCTTCTGAATTTGGGGGCCATTTGTTACACAGCAATAGATAATTAATACAGTTAGAAGTGGTTGTGTAAGTTTGGAGTTTAAGGAAAAGGTTTGGGCTTGTGCTATAAATTGGGAAATTTAGATACAGACAGTACTTAAGCCATAGGACAGTATGAGACCACTCAGAAGTGAACACAATGCAAAGAGATGGTCTGGGGATTGAACCAGATATCAGGAAGAGGAGGAGGACGGCCAGAGGACACAGGGAAGGAATAACCACTGATGTAGAAGGAAAGCCAGAAGTGTGATGTTCTAGAAGCCAAGGAAAAAAAAAATTGGAGGGAGTTGATCAACTGGGTCAAACGCCATTGAGACACTGAGTAAGATGCGGCCTAAGCACTGACTGGTGCATACCTGTGCTTGCAGAGTAACAAATGCAATCAGAGAGGTAATACAATTCTTACTGGGAAAGAACAGAGGTGACCACCGGGTGGG